AGTTTTTTTATTTGTTTTATTTTTTCAAAGATACAGAGCAGTCCTGGAAATTAATGAACGCACCTTGTATATTTTTGGAACACATATTTAGGATTTTACTTTTTTTTTTAAGTCGTAAAAATCCTAGTTGAAATTGGGACTAAACCTTCTTCGAGACATTACTCTATATGCTGTAGCCAGATTGGTCGATACATTGAGAAATGTATGAGGAACAAATGTCGAGATATAGCAAACCTTCCCTTATAAAGAACCTAAGGTAATCCCAAAATTCCTTCCATTGAAAATATTATTTATAATACAATATAATGTGGCTTATAATTGTAGAACGACATTTGAAAATTATCCCACATGTTTCTTTTGAATGAAAAATCGAAATTTATTTTAAGGAGAAATAACAATTATTTCTAACCTTAGGGATGAAGTATGAAAGGATGAATTGTGAAGAGTAATGATGAACGGAAAAATAAAAGTGTCCAGGGATGGGAATCGAACCCACAGTGTTCCGCTTACCGGGCAGATGCCATGTCCACTAGGCTACCCTGGACATTCAAAAGAAACACATCGTCCCTACAACTGCAAACTATCGAATGTGAAAAATTCAATTTTGAAGGAGAGAGAAATGAAGAGACCATGTGACCATGTCATGGTCTCTTCATTTCTCCCTCCTTCAATGCCTTCCTCTACTGAGGGTAGGCCACATGGTCTCTTCATTTCTCTCTCCTTCAAAATTGAATTTTTCACATTCGATAGTTTGCAGTTGTAGGGACGACATGCGGAATAATTTTCAAATGTCGTTCTACGAAAATCTTATTGTTATAAAGAACTTGGAGATTTCAAAAATGTATAGCAAACTACCTTTATAATACAAACCTAATTTTAAGTCTCAAAATAATAAATTCTAATTAAACTACTAGGATTAAAATGAACTTTAAATTTGAATAAATATATTTTTGATATGGAAAAATTTTGAGCATGTTTCAGCTGACATATCAAGATTTTGAAACAATAAATTGTTTGTTTAACATCTATGTACTATTTTTGCCACACACATGTTATGTACAAGTACATTTTTACATTACACCAGCTCTTTCTGGTAATTGGATTTTTTTTTTTGTTTGATTTATGAAGTGAAATGTGAAAATTGTGACCAATGCTATGTAGGATAAACATCCAGAACTTTAAAAGAAGGAATAGAAAACCATGAATATGTTGGGATAAAATTGAAAATTCTGCACTAGTAGAACATAGAAAAATTATAAAGCATAATAATTTCAATCTAAAAGAAACAAAGATACTAGATTATGAGAAAAATTACTTTGAGAGACAATTTAAGAAGCCTTTTTCATTCAAAAGAATTGTGCTACAATTAACAGAATGGAAGAAAGAGGAAAATCATTGATACAAGGATCACTCCAAAGGTTTTCGCAATCACTTATTTTTATTGAAGCTGCAACTTTTACATTTTTTGAGTTTTTCAAAGTATTCACCCTTAGCACCTATGCAAGATTTCATTTGTGAAAACAAATTATTGAAGCACTAACACCAGTTATCTTTGGGGATGGAATTTACGGCATTGATTTTTTATTTATTTATTTTTTGCTTATCCCTAGTACACGTGGTACAGACAATGATAATCATGGTGGGTAGTTAGCGGCTGCTTTTTTACTGTAAGCGCACCACATGTCTACACATGTGAAAGCAGTTCGACTTTGCACTTACAAATGTGCCAGAGTCCCGTTTGGTTACTTGCACTCGCTGGTGGGGTTGGACTTTTGCAAGAATCGGAGGGCCATTGGAGCATTTTTTTTTTATGAAAAAAAAACGGCATTGATAAAGGCTTGCAGTGCTTCATATTCAGTGTCAAATTTTATCCCTTTCAACAATAACTTAACTTTTGAAAAAAAAAAAAAAGATACAAGGGGCTAGATCTGGTGAATATGGTGGATGATTGACTAATTGGCCACCAGAGTTGGCTAAAAAGTCTAATGTTTGGGATGAGGTGTGGGGTCTTGCATTGTCATGGTGAAGAAGGACTCCTCTAAGTTGAGCTCTTGGTCTGCTTTGCTTGATTTTTTCAAATACTGTTGGATGGCATTTTGTTGTATACCAGTCACTACTAACTGTCTTTCGATCTTCTAACTTCACAATATCAATGAAACCATATTTTATTAAAAAAATAAGCGACCATTTGTATTCCAACACTTCGAGCTCTGCAAACTTTTTTAGGAGGTAATTTTGAAGAGCACAAAAGAGTAAATTGCTGCTTTGTTTCTGGATCAACATTGTAAATCCAAGTTTTGTCACTTGTAATAATATTAAAAACAGTCTTTCATTTGCCTTCATCAAATTTTTTCAACATTAAATTTTAACATTTAACGTGACCAGGTTTTTGGTCTTTAGTCAATCTGTGAGGTACCCATCTACTAACAAGTTTTCTGTATTTTAAATGATTATTAATGATGGTGTTGATTGCTGTCAATCCAATGCCCACACCTATTTCTAACTTCTGATACGTAATTATTCAATCTTCTCTAAGTAAAAATCTTACCAGCTCAATTTTTTTCCTCTAACCACGAAGTTGTCAAATCTTTTTTTCTTTCATCATTGTAACAATATAGAAGTTTAGCTATTTAAGAGAATAAAATAATGCCCTTATATATTTTGTGCTGCAGTAAATTAGTCCAAGGTACAGTACATGATAACCTAAGCAGGCAAAGATTAGCTCTGCTGTTACTATAGGTTTTGTTTGGCTTTATGTATAGCCTTGATTAGTTATTTTCACTTGCAGTGAGTGGGTGCATATCAAGAGTAATTGAAGAAAGCTATGTCCAGAGAGACTATAGTAAGAAGTGAGAGAAGTTGAATATTATTTGGGACAATATGAAAATGAAACAGGAAACCTATTCCAGTATGATTTCACCCCCCAAAGTATATGATTCATAGATTTATTACTATTGATTAAAAGTAGAATGTACCTTGATGTCCAGCCAGCTGTACCCAGGGGTACTTATACTTGTGGTAGGTCTGTACGAAAGGGGACCAGTGGATGGCATTGCGGATCTTCTTCCACTTGGAGACCTGTCCAACAACCATCTCAGTTGACACACACAGAGCAGGGGAGAAGGTTTTCTTTGAAATTAGATCAATAAAATTTTAAATACCTCATTATAACAGTCTCTTTTATAGAATAAACTATGTTTTAACATTGTAATTCTAAGGTACCAAGATAAAGGTCACATTTGCTTTAACCGTGGTAATAAAAATACCATTAAAATTGACAAATAGTTATTAAAGCAAATATGATTTCAAGAATATTTGCTCTTCTACAGGCCTATAATGATATGATTGGTAAAATCATTTAAAACAAAGTGACCATTATTAAGAGGTAGTCTTTTTTTTTGTGTGTGTGTGTATATAGCTGTCCTTTAATTATACAACCTAAAAATTTTGAAAGGTTAAAAAAAAAAGCCAAACAGTGACTCAAAAGTTCAATCCCATTGGGATTGGTTGAAAAGATGGTAGTGAGAATGTAATATGGCACCTCTCCCTTTGTATTCTATATACAGTTACGAGCGTCATTCTTCATCTCCTAATCATTTATCAACTCTGTCATCGTTTGCTTTTTTTTTTGGAATGGCGCCCTCCTATTGGTTGGCTACGATCACGCCACCTCTGCCCCCCCCCCCCCCCCCCCCCACTCGCTTTTTCGTTTTTGTAACTATTGTGTTGGAGCGGGTCGCTCCTTAAATAAATGCATATATTAGTTAATAACTAAATGGAATCCTCTCTTTCTTTTTCCCAGTAAGAGACGCCTATGGAAGCCAACAGTACATAGACAGATAAAGCACATAGGCTATAGTTATTAACTAATATATGCATTTATTTAAGGCGCCAATTTATAATTGTAACAAATAGTATTTGAATAAAAACATTCAATCGGGTAAAACACGGGCGTTGCCCGGGTCATTCGGCTAGTAAATGTATAAAACTATATTTAATAAATTCATTGAATCAATGACTGCGTCAATTTGATCTTTGCTGCATTGAATGTTCAGATTGAGATCAGTGAATAAGCCACAATGCCAGTTTTGACAAAGGATATAAACAAAGCACTGGCTGCAACAAATATGGTATGGATAATCCTTGCCAAATACTGTAGATTGTCACATGCAGCTCCAGAACCCATTTCAGCTTGTATTAGATTGCAATTTAGATGCACTAAACAGAACTTTAGGGAGCTTATCATAAAATAGCTTGAGGAGCATGAACTCATGGAATCCGTGTAATCTTTACACAAGGGGATAGGAAACAACAAAAAAATGAACCAGCTTAAAGCAAATTTAAACTTCTAGACTCATTAGTTAAATCAACACTGTGATCTAAGATACTCTTATTTGGGCAACCAATCAAAACATTTTTGAATGAAATTCAGGATAACTTTCTCAGATCACTAATGAATCTGCCTTAATAACACACTACAGGTTATCTCTATATATATGGAATGTGGATGAATTTCTCAAAGTGTTCATTCAACAAAAGATACAGGTAAGCTTTCAAGGTTATTGGCTAATTGCAATTAAATATACCTAAAAAAAAACAGGAACAATTTGCAAGGATTTTATGTTTATTATTTGACTTCCTCAGGTCAATGGCTTCACAAAGGCATGTAATTAATAGACAAATTTAAAAGGTAATTGAAAAATATCCCTAGATTAAGATAATTTCAAAAGAATTTTGAAATTTAACAACTTATAAGATTTTAATATTATAACATATTAATTTATACTGTATATACTATTACTAGCCGAATGACCCGGGCAACGCCCGTGTTTTACCCGATTGAATGTTTTTATTCAAATACTATTTGTTACAATTATCATATTAGTTACGTATTGTGGACGTGTATAGTTGACAAACATACATACATACATACGCTGACTTTTATATATATAGGGATAATAATATAAATGAGTTTTAAAAATTGTAAAAAAGAAAAAAAATGCATCGGCCGGGAATGGAACCCAGGCCGCCCGCGTGGCAGGCGAGCATTCTACCACTGAACCACCGATGCTTATAAGAAATGGCCCTATTTGGGTATTTATTCCATTCACAAAAGCAAACGATGACAGAATTGTTGATGACTCTGATACTTGTATTTATAATTATGTTAGCATAATGAATTAGTCAGTATTCCCATGGTCTCCAGCGAAGAGGTGTGAATTGACTTTTTGAAAATATACATAATTATAAAGATAGAAGCTTCTATAGAAATAAATAAAATAAGCCGAAATAGCTCAGTTAGGAGAGTGTTAGACTGAATATCTAAAGGTCCCTGGTTCGATCCCGGGTTTCGGCATCTTTTTTTAATTTTTAAATTTCATCCATGACAGAGGCCAGGAAAGACGGTCGTGACTATATATTATATTACATATTAAAACAGTAGTCGCCTATGAAAAAATGCCTAAAAACAAAAATAAACCCAATTTTCAGGAAAGTGTTCTTTTGAAAGACTTCTCATGAATAAGCCTGACAAGACAGTTTCTAATGAGAGACCACCTCCAGGAGAGTCTACATTTTTAGGCAATAGACACTCATGGGAGACTCTATATACTAGTTTCTATAAAATAATTAAAACATTGCTTAAATAGGATAATCAGAAGACAAATGAAAGTCTGCCTTTTGTGCAAATTGGCCAGAACTAGTGTTTTGACTAATTCACTTATCTAAATTTGCTCGTTCTTTCCAGAAATAATCAATTAAAAACATTATTTTAATGAATTTATCAGAATGAGGAAAATAACTTGATTTTTGGTACGCTCACTGTGGTGGGATTGGACTTTTAGAAGAAACAGATAGAAGAATCTCAATAGTATTTGAGAATTTGCATGTATATGCTGGATCAAGCCTGTACATCCTGTACATGTGAGGTCTTGAAACACTTGACCATCTGCACTGTGTAAGCTGTCAGCATCAGAATAAGGTGGCACTTGTGAGTGCTACTTGGAGCACAAGTGGTTCTTGACACACTGGTCTAGTAGTGTTATTGGAACCTTCTAACATTTTTACTAGAACAATCAAACTTTGCTATAACACCATCTCTTAGGAACAACATTTTGTATGCTGTTATAGTAGAACCTCTCTTTAAAGAACACCTAATTGAAGATCCAAAGAGTCCTTTGGTGAGAGGTTTCCTCTTACCCGAGAACAGCTAATTGTTAAAAATGGCAATTTTAGCAATGAAAACTGTCCTTTGTATAAAGGTATTCACTAGCAGGAGTGTCCACTCATGGAGGTTCTACTGTATATAACTAACTTTTGTTATAACCATGGTTGAAACAATTCCACCCAATAACACAAGGTTACAAGAACAAATCCAAATAAGTATCTTATATTTGCACAAGGTAATAAGACCAAATCCAGATAAATAAATATGTAGGATTGTTGCGTGATGTGTTGGTGTGGCTTGTGGAAAGGCTGCTGATAAAATTATAATTAAAATTAATTTATTTAAAGCCAGAAATATAGAAATAGAAAAGAAGCAACGGTTGAAGTAACGGCCGTCGGAGTTAGCCTAGATGTTTACCGCGAGTGGCCAGAGTCTCTGATGACGTCCAGCGCGCATGAGTAGTCAGGTTGACTCTCGCGGTTGCCGAGGCCGTCCTAGTTCGCGCTCGCTGAAGCAAAGTGTAGTTGCCACAAATAGTATGTGACATTTTGGTAACAGTTGTTACCATCTTCAGACAAAAGTACTGAATTATCTGAAGATGGTAACAACACTTTTACCGAAATGTCACACTATTTATTTATTTGGATTTGGTCTTATTACCTTGTGTTTATAATCTATAATCCAAACTGTGCCTTATCATAAGCAGGTGATATTTGTCAATAATTCTCTTTTTAAAAACTTGGCCGGCTTTCAAATATCAATCTCAAACAAAGGTTAAGTAAAATAGTGCACAAAGTTTATAACTAGAGATATAAAAATTACTTTAAATACACATTTGTGTAGATCAGATGATAATCCAAGATCACATGTAATGTTAAAACAAGAAGAATGAGAAAAAAATGTTTCTCCTATTTAGTTATCATGCATCTCTCACAAGGGACATGTTTGTCCTTCAATTCTAGGCACCTGTTTCTTGGGGCAGACAAGTTTGCAAGCTTGATATGTATGAAAACTAAATAGAAGAAAGGCTTCCCCTCTAGTCTTCTCATTTTAGTATTACAGTAGAACCTCCCTTAGCGGTCATTATTGCTAGCGGACATACCTAAGCAACAGACACTTACCCAATGCATCATTTATTGATTTTACATATAATAAACATCTCTGCTATAAGGGAAAATTCAGAAAATCAAAGAGTTGAACAAAGAATATATATTTTAAATAAAATTCATTTTGAATGTTTAATATTATTTAACTAAATTTTACTAAGTGTTAAACAAGGCTATAACATGCTATAATGATAAATAAATATAAAAAAATATATATTTTTTTTCAGTATAATACATATAAAAAAAATGGTAACTCTCCAGTAAGAGGACACCTCTCTGTGAAGGACACTTTGGCACTGCACCTAGATGTCCTTTACAGGAAAGTTCTACCCAACCATATCTGTGTGTTAAGTGGGTCAAATGATAACAAAAAGTGAAGCAACTTCACCTTTTTGGGAAGTTTTGGTGCATCAGTGAGGTCCTCATCCCAGGACATGGAGGAGGTGGTGGAGCTGCAGGTTGAGAGGCTGCGGGTGTAGGAGAAGTAGCCGTAGTCCTCTGGAGTGGGGGAAGGGGTGGATCCCGGGTCACAGAAGTCACTGATGATGATGTTGGGGCAGGAGGCATGGTGGGCCAGGGAGGGGGACAGGGAGACTGTGGTGGGGGGGATGGAGAGCCCTCGGTGTGGAGGCATAGGTGGGGGCATAACCTCCTTATCTGTCCAGGGGAGGCAGTCCGGGGAGACAGTGCCCTCAGGAGTGTGGGGGCTGGAGCAAGGACTGGAACTGAGAGAACCTAAGGAAGTCCGGCGGCGCTCTGTGAGGTAGTTGCAGGAGGGTATGGTCAGACCCTGGATCCCTGTGTGTGACTTGGTCCTGTTGAAGGGCATGGCCCCGGCTCATCTCAACCAGATTCTGCACAGCAGATATTCTGTTTATTGAAAACACACTATGATAAACACTATCAGTTAATTCTACATTCAAAACCTAATAAATTCAAGACCCAAAACATTTAAACTATATAGAGACAGGGATTATAAATTAGAACATTTGGAAATAAAGGCCAACAAATTAAAAATTCTTAGAAAATATGACTCAATAAACCATCATCGTGAATTTGTAACACTTGCCTCACAAAGTGTATGAATTTTGCTGCCACCTACATCATTCTTTTTCACTATTGTGAGGTCTGACTTTAATTTAGTGGTCCAAAAAATCTAAATAAAAATACAGTAGAACCTCCCTGTAAAGGACACCTAATTGCAGAGCCAAAGTGTCCTTTAGGGAGAGATGTCCTCTTACTGGAGAGTTGTTAAATAGTAAAAATTCTAATTTTACCTATGAAAACTGTCCTTTATAGAGAGGTGTCCTCTCATGGAGGTTTCTACTTATATATTTGCCTTATTCTGTCTGTTTGTTTGTCTGAAGCTCACGGATGGGAATTTTCATAACCATCGGTGGTTCAGTGGTAGAATGCTCGCCTGCCACGCGGGCGGCCCGGGTTCGATTCCCGGCCGATGCATTTTTTTTTTTTTTACAATTTTTAAAACTCATTTATATATTATACAAGAATGACATCCACGGCGCCAATTTATAATTGTAACGAATAGTATTTTAATTAAAACATTACTAAAATATATACGCACTCGGGTAAAACCCGGGCGTTGCCCGGGCCATTCGTCTAGTTACTGTATAATTGAATATATTTGGCCTCTTATAGAGTTAAGACAGATTTTCCAGTTGAGAATATACAGTTCTAGTATGAACATTTTGGTAAAGTTCTATCTCTGAAATGGAGGTTGGCCATCATGGAACACCATTTCAGCTTTTCTGACCAATTCTCTTTGTTCTACTAATTCTACCATATCATTCAATTAAATTATCAAACCAGTCTTTCCTTGGTGGACTTCCTTTGAGGTGAATTTGAGACCCAGCCAGGGAATCACATTTCCATAGTCTTACATCCATAATTTTATCTTTAGCGACCGATTTATGACCAACCATTTTAGTGATAACATTTCTAAAATTTGGGTAGCAGAGAACTTTGGGTGTTTCTGTGGGAATGGTGTGGAAGACATCTCATGATGTCGAAGCTTTTGAAGGGTACAGAGACAGAAATATATAGACTTCACAGATTTTAAATCTGACACTAAAAACTTGGAGAAATATTTTAATTGCATGAGAACGCGAAACTATATGAAAAAATAGTACAATATTGTTCCACGTTCTCACACACTTCTGGCCTTAACTACCCATTTCTTGATTTTTCAGGATACCTGAATGACCAGCTTTTTGGTCGTTGGGGTAGAGCTTGCATCATGCTGACAAGAGCCAACATGTACGTGGTTAGCTTTTCTTGATTAATCAAGAATGGGTATTTGGCCAATTCTGGAATAATTAAAAATCGATGAATAGTTGACATTTATTCCGATAGATGCGCAAGCCATAAGCAACTTTCAAGTTGCACAATAAGGAGAGATGCCTTTTTTCTTAATTTATCAACCTTTTATCCCAGTACCATTTCACATTTGTGCTATTTTTCATTATATTACATTTTTCAAATTGATTAATGTTAATTATTAGTTTGAACAAAATATAAGGTTAAAAGAGACGTGGTTCTGAGATTTCTTCATATCAATTCACATTAGCCTGGTCCTTCATTGATGATGTGGCCTCCAGGAAGGACAAAGCAGGGTACATTCACTAGTCTTTAATATCCATGCACTGGGATTGAATATCACATTGAGCTATATATATATATATATTTTTGTGCTTTAACAACCCTTGGTTTTACACAAGTCCACCTCAATAGTGAATACAAGTCACCAAAAAAGGTTATAGAGTCTTCTCAAGGCAAAAC